CGGGATATCAGAGGCATTTGGCAACAGTAGGAAAACCTCCAGCTATTCCTTAACTTATTCAGTCCAAGACCCTTACTGTGTTATGCAAGACCTACTTTGACCTGTTTCCACCCGTGATGCCTGCCATCTTGCTGTCCCCACTGTGTGGAGTGATCCATAATTCTTTTGCCTGGCCAACTCTTACTCACTCTTCAAGAGTAGGTTTGGGTCTTTTCCCCTCAGGAAATTCTCTCCAAATTATATGGGTTGAGATTAGGCTCTGTTTTCACTCACCTATGTATTCCTTGATCTTAAGTTTTGATATATTGAAATTATCTCTTAATGTTTCCACCCACCCATGAGAGTATAACTCCTCAAGGGCAAAGACTGCTTTTTCTTCCAAAGTTGAAATGAGTTTCTATGTCTGGCATGAATGGGATGTTCAGTAAATGTTTGATGAACTGAAATGACTAATTCCAAGTGAAATTTCATTTCCCAGAAGGAGCAAGACAGTGAGATGATGTGAACCCTTTGTTTAGTAGGGTGACAGTCCTTCAAGTGACCAAGTATGATCCTCTTCCCACCAGCTAGGGCTGAAGTGTGGAGCATCAGGTTATAGGTTCAATGTTGGAGTTAAATCTATGTTTGAGCAGAGGGTGCAATTTCAGCCTCACTATATTGGTTTATTCAGTCTTAAGAGAGAAGAGAATCATAATTTTCTATCCACATCCTCCAGATTGGGGGAAGGGGTGATTATTAGTACAGACTGTAGAAGATGCAGGAGGACAGAAATATTTACTTACTTTGTCTTTGGAAAATCTGAAAATCCTCACAAGGTTGTACTCAAGATTTCATGAAAGAGGCAGGGCTGATGGCGGTGATTATCAGGGAGACGTAAGCCACACCATGCTTCAGTGCCGCAGTTTCCTCTTTTGGAATAATAGATCTTTCAGTGGGAGCGGAGGATATTTATTTTCATTTCAGTGGTCTTAAATATGAGTTTTATTATAGGTAATAAAAAGCCCCAATTAATTATCAGTTCCTAGACAGTCAATTAGCCACATTCCCTAATAGCATCATATCTGTGCACTATTTATAACAGGCCCTTATTTCTTTTAACTACTCTCATTCCATTAGTTTGCTGAATTAATGTACAAGTACATACAATGGTTACATAGGTTGTATTAAAATGCCTGATCAGATGTGATTTTTAAACAAATGGTGTGAAGCCATTTCAGATGAGCTTTCCATGTTCATGTCTGATTTAACTTACCATTGATAGTAGTCTTTCTAATTCTTCTTCACTGATTGGAAAATACAATGACTCCCAAATTCTGTCTTCTGCACTTCCATCCACTGGGCAGTAGTGAGAAGAGTGATTTCTTTTGTAAATGTGGTGGATCAGCAGCTCTCAACATGGTCAAAAGAAGTGTATTTGTGAAAGTTTCACTTGTCATTCTGATCTGCAGCTAGGTGATAACATTGGGGTCTTAGTTTGGGCTGCTATAACAAATATACCATGACTAGGTGGCTTAAACAAAAGCAGTTTTTTTTCTCAGTTCTGGAGGCTGGTAAGTCTAAGATGCCAGCAGATCCAGTGTCTGGTGAGAATCCTCTTCCTGGTTTGCAGATGACCCTCTTCTTGTATCATCACATGGCAGAGAGCAAGAAGAGTTAGCTCTCTTCCTCTCCTTAAAAGGATGCTAATCCCATCATGGGGCTCCATCCTCCTGACCCAGCTGCCTCCTACAGGCTCCATCTCTAAATATCATCACAATAGGAATTAATGTTTCAACATATGAATTTTAGGGGGATATAAATATTCAGTCTATAATAATTGGGTTAGAGAATTCTTTCTTTCTTTCTTTCTTTCTTTCTTTCTTTCTTTCTTTCTTTCTTCTTTCTTCTTTCTTTCTTTCTTTCTTTCTTTCTTTCTTTCTTTCTTTCTTTCTTTCTTTCTTTCTTTCTTTCTTTCTTTCTTTCTTCTTTCTTCTTTCTGACATGGAATGAGTGCAGGGCAGTGCTTCAAAAACTATTCTCTTCCTATAGATGAACAATGGTAATACAGCAAATAAAATGCAGTTATCTAGGCACTTAGTGAGGTTTCTCTTATGCAACTTGGGACATCTTATTAAATTAGAAAGCAAAGAATAATTACTCTGATAATCATTTAAAAAGTAATACTTCTATCATACTTGTTACAACTCCCAACTAAAATGACTATTTTAGTTCTTCTGTCTAATAAATCCTTTCTAATGTCATTACTAAAACTTAGATTAATCTGAACTAGACTATTATGATAAAGTTACATCTTCTATGTATTGTCTCAAGAAGTTAGAAATATCATTTTAGACACACTATCAATAATTTTATAGCTTCCTATGAGAAAAATAAGGAGAAACAATTGTTTTATTGATACTAACCAGAAGTTCTAATAACAGTAAGTAAAAGTGTTCAAAATTGCAACTAGATGCCTGGTAGGTAACAAGTTAATTATCTGGTAATTTATATGTGAAACCTAATAATTTGTAATTCAACTCACATATAGACAGGCGCTGACTTATATTGGTTCAACTTACGATTTTTTGACTTTATGATGGTGTGAAAGTGATACATATTCAGTAGAAACTGTACTCTGAATTCTGAATTTGGATCTTTTCTTGTATGGTCCCATATTGGACCAGTATATGGTCCCAATACTCTCTCGTGATGCTGGGCTGCATTGAGCCAAATGACAAAAAATGAGTAGACAACTGATACCCTTCCAGCTGTTCTGTACCCATATAACCATTCTGTGTTTTACCTTTAGTACAGTATTCAATAAGTTACATGAGATATTCAACACTTTATGATAAAATAGTCTTTGTCTTAGGTGATTTTAGCCGATTTCTGTCGGCTACTGTAGGTATTCTGAGACATACAAGGTAGGCTAAGCTAAGCTGCAGTGTTCAGTAGGGTAGGTATATTCAATTCATTTTCAACTTACGATAGGTTAATCAGGAAGTAACCCCATCATAAGTCAAGAAAGATCTGTAGATACACCTATTTATATGCGACAAATATAAAATAGTATCCCCAATTCTTCCTCTTAAAAACTAGCAGATGCTAGTCGAGAGCTTAGTAACTTCATGGTCCCGATATTAAATATTGTAGTACATTTGTTCATAGGTCAGCAGATGGATATAATTAAGGCTAAATGTACTTATCAAAATAAGTTAACCAAATTGAAACTCTGAACGAGGGAACTTACTCTTCATCTCACTAGATTTGTCTACCCTTTTGAAAGTCTTCCCCATACAAGAATTTGTTAAAGCAGCAGTTCTTATGCTCCTTTATCAGACAGATCTCAGTGTAGAAACACCTCCCCCCCCCACCTAAACAAACAAAACTGGAACATCACCATTGCATTATACCTAGTCCTCACCAGTACTTCAAAGTCTGATTGTTAGAGTTGCTTTTGTTGAAAAAATGTGGTTTTTTTTTTTTTTAAAGATTTTATTTATTTATTTGACAGAAAGAGAGAGCACAAGCAGGGGTAGTGGCAGGCAGAGGGAGAGGGAGAAGCAGACTCTTTACCGAGCAGAGATCCCGACATGGGGCTTAATCCCAGGACCCTGGGATCATGACCTGAGCCAAAGGCAGCCACTTAACCAACTGAGCCACTCAGGCGCCCCTGTTTTATTATTTTTTTAATCACAAGTTACTGATTTATGCTAGAGACAGAAGAAAAGATATTCTGTCATTTATGAAACAGTAGCAACTTTTAAAACACTTGACTGCAATCACAACAGGAGGCCTCATGGCTTTTAAGTCCTGACTCTCCATAGAGATTTTCTTTTTTGGGTGGATTTTATAGGAACTCAGGGGCATAAATACAATTATATAACAGGCTGGGGAAGAAAGACTTTTGGTGTTAGCCTCAGATATGTGATTCAGAGGCTAGCAGACTTCTCCATCATTTGTTTATTATATAAAGCAATGCTTATTAAGCATTTCTGGTGTGAATGTAGTGCCTCTATGTAACTTACAAGTAAAATCTGCTCCTGAGACTCTATTTATATACTATTAGAAGAGGTGCTGGGGGGATGGTGGGTTCATAACTACAGATGAGTTTCTGGGAACATTCGAGGCATCCAAATCACCTTTGGGATTCCTGTTTTATCTGTGGTTGTGTTATATCTGACTCCTTTTTCCTGCTGGCAACATATTAATGATCTAGTTATCTACAAGTAGTCCCTCCTTTGTTTATTCAGTTGGACTTAAAAGTTCTGTGCCCTCTGAGTAAGATGGTGAGGTAGTGTGTATGGTAAGGAGCTTCAGCTTCATTTCTCTGGTAGAGTTTCACCTCTGTACTGTGGTGGGCATCATTGGTCATAGGACAACTATTCTTATAACTGACTTGACTATTTTTTCATCTAGGATGATGGGGCGGTACCATTTTGCTTACTCTGGGGAACGGCTATTCACTGTGGATGGGCACCCTTGCACTAGAGGGAACAGTGGGCTGAGAATGATACCTGTTACAGTCTTCTCTGAGGGATTTCCCTATTCACCAACTCCTTGTTTTCCCCCAGGAGAATCATAATTTCAATATTCAAATGAGGAAAAAGGACCTTTTGAGGGAATAGGAGATTATTGTCTTTTCTAAAAACTGATTGCACCCATGGCTTCTGAGGAAGGGAGGGAAGACGTGAACTCAGGGTGAGGAATTTTGTGACAAACTCTAGAGGATGGTTGTCACTTGCATTAGACATCCCCTTCTTAGCTTCCATTTTGATTATTGAAAAATACCAGAATGAGTTAAATTGGATGGAATCTCAAATTAGATTCATTTTGGGGATAGATGTTGCCAGGATGGCCCGATATGGGGTACTGGATAGGCATCTCAGGTGGGGAACCTGTATCACTTATTTTTTCCCACTAAAAACCTACATTCTTGCTATTTATATGGGTTTTCTTCTCCTTTTCTCCATCCCCTTTGTATCTGGTATTTCTCCCCTCGATTCTTCCTTCTTTCCCAGGTGTGTTTGATAACTGCTCCCACACTGTCAGTGACAAGGGCTGGGCCCTAGGGATCCGCTCAGGGAAGGACATGGGAAGGCGAGATGCTTGCTTCTTCTTCTCCCTTCGCACCGACCGTGTGAAGAAAGCCACCATTGTGACTGGCCACAGTCGCTACCAACCAGGCACATGGACACACGTGGCAGCCACTTATGATGGACAGCGTATGGCCCTGTATGTGGATGGCACTCGGGTGGCTAGTAGTCCAGAGCAGTCTGGTCCCCTGAACAGCCCCTTCATGGCGTCTTGTCGCTCTTTGCTTTTGGGGGGGGATAGCTCTGAGGATGGCCACTATTTTCGTGGACACCTGGGTACACTGGTCTTCTGGTCGACCGCCCTCCCACAAAGCCACCTCCAACACAGTCCTCAGCATCCAACTGGAGTGGAAGAACTGAGCACCCTGATCCTGACAGCCAGTTTTGAGCCCTTGGAAGAACAGTGGGCCCCCTTTAGGGATGGGGAGTATCCACGGCGTGAGGTTCTGCAGGGCTTTGAGCCTGAGCCTGAGATTCTGTCACCTTTGCAGCCCCCACTCTGTGGGCGGACGGTTTGTGACAATGTGGAGCTGATCTCCCACTACAATGGGCACCAGCCCCTCCAGGGAGAGAAGGTGATCCGCTACCAAGTGGTGAACATCTGTGATGACGAGGGCCTGAACCCCATCGTGAGCGAGGAGCAGATCAGCCGGCAGCACAAGGCACTGAACCATGCCTTCAGCCGCTACAACATCAGTTGGCAGCTGAGTGTCCACCAGGTCCACAACTCCACCCTGCGCCACCGGGTTGTGCTTGTGAACTGTGAGCCCAGCAAGATTGGCAATGACCACTGTGACCCTGAGTGCGAACACCCACTGACGGGCTATGACGGGGGTGACTGCCGCCTGCATGGCAGGTGCTACTCCTGGAACCGCAGGGATGGGCTCTGCCACGTGGAGTGCAACAACATGCTGAATGACTTTGACGATGGGGACTGCTGTGACCCCGAGGTGACTGATGTGCACAAGACCTGCTTCGACCCCGACTCACCCAAGAGGTAAGGGACTGGGGCTTGGGGTGTCCTACTTGTAGGATGCATTTATTACATCATTTTATGCTTTTGGTTTCTGGAAAGAAAAGAGGGTTCACACAACCCCCAAATAAAATATTCATCCCTCCCATGAGACATTACTGAGCTTTTGTGAAGTCCTAGGTGTTAGATAATTAGGGACACAGGGATGGCGAAGACAAGGGACAGCCCTCACAGAACTCATTTTCTGTGGAGCAGACAATGTGTACATGGTGTGACATGTACCTGAAGACGTATGCCCCAGGTGCTTGAGGCACAGGAGAGCCAAACAGCTTAGTCTGCCAGAGGAAGCCAGGGGCTCTTCAGAGAGCAAATAAGGTAAACATTGGCAGAAACCAATCAGCACCAATTATACCTGAGTGTTCTTCCTATAGTCGTAGGTTCCCAGCAAAGTAACACAAATCTGTGAAGAGGCCTCATTTGCCTGTGGTCTCTGGTGCAGTTTGGGCTGCTCAGCAGTTTAGGAATACAAGACATTCTATAACTAACCCCATGTCTCCTTAAGGCGACCACAGTCTTCCTCTTTGCCCTGTTAGATTCCATTCCCTACACAGCATCCAGAAAGATCCTTCGTAAAGGATAAATCAGAACCTATTTCTCCCCTTCTTACTTTCTTTCTCCCCACTGTCCTTAGAATAGAATCCACGTCCCCCACCTGGCTCGCAGAGTGTGCTGCAAGCTGACACCTGCCTACCTCCGTGCTTCTTCCCCCAGTCACTCTCACCCCCTCTCTGTGCAGCCTCTCTCCTGTTCCAATGAGCAGATCAGCTTGTTCTTGCCTGCAGGCTTTGCAATAGCTGTTTCATTTTCTTGGAAACCTCTTTCCCTTGACCTTCCCTTGGTGGGTTTTCTCTTGTCATTTCTATATCGACTGAAATGTCACCTCCTGAAGAGGCCTTTCCTGATTTTCCCTAAGTTAAGTAAGCTACTCAATCACTATTATGTCGACTAATTTTGATTCTTTGTGTAACACTCATCCCTTCTAATGTTTTCTTGTACAATAGTTTGTCTTTCTCCTGCCTGAAATGTCATTCCATGAGATCAGGGCCCTTGTTAACCACTACATACTTAGTGCCTAGAATAGCCCCAACATAAAGTCATTTGTCTCATGTTTATTTTAATGAATTAATGGATCTGATGTGTCTTCTGTTGTGAGACAGAAACCAGTAAGAGGATTTCCATTACAGTCAATGCAGGGGTTGGGGAGTGTTAGAGGGAGGTAAGAAAGGAGAGAGGTGGGTGGTAAACTTGTTAATTTGTGTATGCAGGCAAGGCTTCCTCATGACATAACTGGTACCTTTGTACAAATTATAAAAAGGCTCACATCTGAGCTAGGGTGCAGTGTTGGCGAAGGTGGGAAGACTGGATCTCAGCTTCCACCCAATACCTGGATGGCTGCCTTTGTGTTTCTTGGCCACAATTTGTATAGTAATTTGTGGTATCCCTGTGTGTGGGCAGTCAGTTAACACTAATTAATAGGTCGGCTTATAGTTCAGGCATGTGATGTTAAAAGACTAAGTGTAAAATTTGGAATCAAGACACAGTTGAATTCGAGAGTCCTTGCTACTTAACTAGCTATATAAACTGTGTAAGTCACTTTCTGAAATTCAGATGTCTTGTCTGTAAAAAGAGGGTGATTGCAGTAATACTTTGCATTACTTATATCCTTGGGCTGTTTTGTGAATCAGATGACATAAGGAATAGAGAAGTGCTTGGGGACTGAAGTTTTCAATGTAAAAAAATTGTCCTAAACTAACATTAATTATTGTCATTATTAGACCTGACAGATGGGAAGCCATTGTTTATATAATAATAATAGGGGAAATTGATCGCATTCCCAGAAATATTCACATAAGAAAGATTCTGTTTGGGTTTGGTTTTTAGATTTTGATAACCTTAAGCAGAAGCTAAACCTCACTAACAACAGTGGTTGCCAACTCTTTGGGGAGACAGGGAAATCTGGCTTGTTCTTACTTTTCTTCTCGCTGATTACAACAACCCACTGCCATGACTGAGAGAGCTGTTGTTCCAGGTACCCAGACACCATTCTTCTTAGTGGTCCTTTATGTCTCTAAATACCTACAGCTACTACCCTTAACTAGGTGTTTGTAGCTTATTCCCTTTACTGACTCAGAGTTGCCATGGCAACTCATCCCTTCCTAGCCCTAGACCCAGACGTGTTTCAAACCTCCCTACCCCGACATGCAAAATTCACTTTGTGGAATAAAAATGAACTCTTTATGCTTTTTTGATAGTTAAAAATATTTAAATCAAAGTAGTAAATACTCACGGTTACAAATATCAAACTGTGTTAAAAGACATAAGGAAGAATGGTGGTCTCCGGCCTAACTTTTCCCATCCTTCTCCACCCTCTAGCCTTGCTCCCATACTTGATTATTTTACCTGTCTCTTTTGATAATTACCTCCATGTCTCCAAGTATTGTATTTATATTACTTGATTCATCAATTTTAAACGTTATGCATTGGCTTGCTCTTATGATAAAGAGGAGACTTTAACTTTTATATTGTCTCCTTCTTCTCCCCTCCATCTTTCCAATATAGTTATTTGACTATCTTTAGTTAAATCAGTTATATATATTTACAAGATCATGGCTATGATTTTTTTTTCTTCTGCAGAACAAATTATGATTCTATTATTATATTTCTTTCCTGGTGTAGCTTCCTCCCATCCCCCACCCTACCCCTTGAGTCTCTATTTCTTCCCTCCCTCCTTCCCTTCTTCCTTTCTTCCCTCCATCATTTTTGATATCCTCAATTGTTTTTATCTTATCAGTTAATCTATAGAATGTGTCTTCTTTTTCATTCTCTGGAGCTCTTCCTTCTAGTTCATTCTATTTTTCTCTCCTCTTCCAATCTTTTTTCTTTTTTTTGAGAGAAAGCGAGAGAGAGTACATGAGTGTGTTTTGGGGGGGTTGCAGAGGCAGGGGGAGAGGGAGAGAGAGAGACTCTTAAGCATGCTCCATGCCTAGCAGGAGCCGGATGCGGGGCTTGAGCTCAGGACCCCGATATCATGACCTGAGTCAAAATCAAGAGTCAACGCTTAACTGAGTGAGCCACCCAGATGCCCCTCCTCTTCCAGTTTTGACCAGTTATCTAGGTCTGCTGCATAGTTTTCATCCCAGAAATTCTGCTTTATGATTGGAGCCACTGTGTCCTGAACTGTATGATTATCTCCTTTTTTATTACCTTACCTTATTGGACATTTAATTTACAACCTTATTTTACTGGAAGATATCCTTAAGTAACTTTCTAAGAAAGAATGTTGTAGGTATAACTTTTTCTGAGAAACATTTCTCGAAATGTTTTTGTTTTGCCTTTACACAAAATTGATAGTTTGCCTTGGTGTAAAATTTTGGGTTGGAAAACATTTTCTCTCAGATTTTTTGAAAAAATTCATTAGTTGCCTCTAGCTTCTCTTTTGATAATTGTGTGTCTTTTTAGAGGGGGAAGTTTTGTTTCCTTGTAAAAATTGTTTAGAATCTTAGCCTTGTTACTTTAGGGATTTTATGATAATTTTTTTAGAGTTGGCCTTTTATTTTTCTTTTGTTGAGCACTCAATGGTCCTTTTGATTTGGATACTCATGCCCTTACCTTTGGCAAATTGTCTTAAATTATTACTTTGATACTTTTTATTAGGTTTTCTCTGTCCTCTTTTTTTCCTCTTAAGCTCCTGAGGATGGATCTCCTGAACTTATTCTGTGTCTTTTTTCTCTCATATGTTTTTTCTTTCTTTCTTTCTTTCTTTCTTTCTTTCTTTCTTTCTTTCTTTCTTTCTTTCTTTCTTTCTTTCTTTTCTTTTCTCTCTTTCTTTCTCTCTCTCTTTCTTTCTTTTTCTTTTTTTAAGATTTTATTCATTTATTTGACAGAGAGAGACATAGCGAGAGAGGGAACACAAGCAGGGGGAGTGGGAGAGGGAGAAGCAGGCTTCCTGCTGAGCAGGGAGCCCAAAGTGGGACTCAATCCCAGGACCCTGGGATCATGAACTGAGCTGAAGGCAGACGCTTAACGACTCTTTCCTTCTTTCTTTCTTTCTTTCTTTCTTTCTTTCTTTCTTTCTTTCTTTCTTTCTTTCTCTTTCTTTCTCTTTCAGAGATTTCCTTGAGTTTATCTTCTAACTCTTCTATTGAATTTTTAATTTTAGCAATCATATTTTTAAGACCTTCTTATTTTTTTGACTTTCTATATTAATCTATTTTTATTTTAAGGATACAAAATTTTTTAAGGCTAAAAATAGATATATTCTGATTTTCCCCCCCGGTCACTATATCTGACTCATCTGTAGTCGACTTTTATTTTTCCCTCCCCCCCCACCTTAGTTTCTATCTGTCTTTCATGCTGTCTTTTCATGTTATTCCTCAAATATCTAGCACTTGTTCACAATAAGAAACATGCTTTTGGATCTCTACTTATCATGATCTAAAAAAGGATAATTAACTCTGAATTTCTTCTTTTGGAGGAAGAAATTTGCATAGTGGAGAGGAGAGCTTTTTTCTTTCCCAACTCCCTTATATTTATTTCATATATAGACTTTTTCCCTTCTATCCTCTGCCTTGTATTCCTTATGCTGAATTTTTATTATTAAAAATATTGAACTCTTATTGGCAAGAACCATATTTTGAAAAACAATTATTTATCAAGGTCCTTGATGTGCCAGACACAGTGAGCTAAGCAGAGGGACAAATATAAAGAATATATAAAGAGCAGGTGCTAACAACTTAGTGGAGAGTTTTAGTAATTTTGTCAGAATTCCCTGGATTTATTTTATCAAAATTAAATCCAGGCCAAGGCACTGAAAGCAGAATATGAAATGCAGACTGCTTTTCTGGGCTATGGCTTGGGTTGTTTGAAAGGCCTTTGGATTCATAGAGACAGATATCTGGATTTCTATGAGTCTGTGACTTGGTTGAGCTAGTGGTTGTCTTGGAACTAAATTATTTGTATATAGT